CTCAGAGGCTCTGTAGTGACTTTTTGTTTGCCCAATGGTTTTTTTTTTTTTTCCATTCGCAATGTTAAGTGGACTGGCACACAGGAGTGCCGTGAATCATGCTTAGGAATGTGTGCAATAGAGGGAGAGAGGGAGAGAGACTTTGAGAGAGAGAGAGAGAGAGAGAGAGAGAGAGAGAGAGAGAGAGAGAGGCCAGGTAATGAATTTGACATTTTCCATGCAGGCTGTGCTGACGGTGCAGGTGGAAATGCCAGGCTGAATGACTCCCATTTCTCTCCTCGTAGCACGGCTCAGCTGAAGTTTCCACGCCTGGTCACCAGGCCTGGCCCACTTCTACTCTCCTCTCTCTCTCTCTCTCTCTCTCTCTCTCTCTCTCTCTCGTTCGTGCCTCTTACAAATGAGTCTGCGGTAAAATTAATGTCCTGTAACACTGCTGCTAACTGCAGGTACCCCATTTCTCCTCTCGCTGCAGCTAATGCCCTTGATCTTTCATTAGGACTTGTACCCAAAGCACCTGAGGGGGACTCGACACTCTTCCTCGTCCCTGACTGCCTGCTTGGCCTCCATTTTTCTCTCAACTCCCGAAAGGTTCTGGCTGAACTATGGACGAAAATAAAATGGCTCTGTAGAAAGAAGTGCATGACTTGTCCACATTAATGCAGAAACATTTCAAAACGCCTCTAAAGCTGAAACACATCACCTAAAACTCCATTTGTAATATAAAACCAAAGATTTCTATCATCCTGAGCTTGGCCCTGATTGGCTGCTGAATGCTCACATGATCCATCTCAGATACATCTATAAAATACATGGCAAGCTGAATTTTTTGTCTTATTAACTTTATGAGAGAGAGAGAAAAAAAGAGGCTGGTGAAGGAACGACTGTTTATAGCTGCTCTATCATGGGTGAGAACAGGAACTAACTTGTCTTGAAGATGTTCCATAACATGTGATGTAACTATAAATGCATAAAAAATATGTATCATAGAAGAGAAATGAAACATTTCAGGACATGCTGTCACAGGAAAACTAATCAACATGTTTCATTCCTTACTTACATGAGGTGTGTTTAGGAGCTCAGGTAGAGCTTTTTGGCGATAAAGCGTGTTGTTTATGTATAATCGAGGGTACCTAAGCAGATTTTGATATTGACAGGGGTTTTAAGAACAGGATGGCACACTGGGTGTGGATCTGTTCTCAGTGCCAAATCTGCAAAGCCGCAGAGTTGTGTAACTCCTCAGCCACCTGTTCTGACAGGAAATCAGCCATGTTGGTTGAAAGAGTGCAAAAGGCTGCGATTGAGCAATGAGAGGTGTGAGAGCAGTGGTGTATGGGTAAACACTTTTTGATATTGATCATGCGATCACAACTCAGGGCAGCAATCAAACCCGGTCTGTTATTAGTCCCTTCCATGTACAGTCAGAGCCACCTGCCTTCAGAACTGCAGCCCATCCAATTGTCATGACTTAATTGAGAACTTATTTAGAGAATTAATGTGTCTTGGCACGCAGCTGCAGTTACAGTGATCCGGAGTGGCGTTATAAAACCAGGCTGGTTCGACAGATTCATTTGTGCCTGTTTACAGATGCAGATCTATCGCTGCAATCTAATTTAACTGGACAGATTTACACTAGCTCCATGGCCAGCTGCGTTCATCAGAATTTTACAACGCCAGAGGGGGCGGAGTGAACCCCGACAGATTAGACACGAGCATGAGACTTATTAGATCAGCTCTCAAATTAAACCTCACAAGAGACGGGCCATAATGTCTCACTTAGCGCCGAGGGCGGACTGCGACTCAGTGACAGGTTCTGCTCACCGTGGACGGGTTTGTAAGAGAATATAAATATAAATGCGCTGCTGCCTCACATTGAAATGCAGCGCCACATTTATATTTATATGACCTGTATATATTACGCTCATCTTATAGGAAAGTTACTCAACTGAGTTCTGAGGGAGAGAAAGAGCTTAGTTAAATATTACATTACTATTTTACCATAGTGTGGTGATTAATTTTCTATAACCGCAGCTCTGACAGTAGTTCCGGCTGTAAGGCAAATCACAGGTTTGTGTTAATGCGCTCGTACTAATAACTCTCTGTAGTAACGACTCATTCACGGGGACTTGTACGGCAGACGCTCCACTTACACAGATTAAAAACATGTGACTAATCGTTGATATGGTGAGGTTTTCTGTAAGGAAATGTTGACTTAACATTTATGGAAGGAGTCTCCAGTGTCAGTGCTTTACCTCACAGACCGAAGTGAAGCTGTAACTTCAGGTTTTCGGACATCTTCAGGACAGAGGAGGCTGATGAGGGAACACGACCCCAATTCGTGTAACTTAGCTCATCTTGACTAACAACCATATGGACGCAGACAGTACAGAAAAAAGGAAAAAGAAAAACATAAAAGAAAAATAAGCCTATATAGCCTAATTGTGGTCATTAATTAGTAGCTTGAATAAATGCACTAGAATTAAATGCACTTGGCTTCCAGATGTGTGTCGCCCCCTGCTGGGCAAACACAGCCCTGCCAGTAATAAAGCTCCAAACTCTGTTTTAATGAAACCACACCTCTCAGATTCACTGCTCAACAAATCCTCACTGCATCACTCACTTCACACAGTCTGGATTTACAGCAGCATGTGTAATCCAGTCTTCTGGCTGATTTACGATGCAGTACCGCTCACATCCGACAGATGGCGCAAAACACACACAGATTAAATCACCACAGAATTCATCCGTAAAAATGAGCACTACAAAAGTCACAGCCGCTCAGGAAGGTTAATAACAGCATTAATAACATTTTATCACCGGATTTTAACAGTCACGTGTGTAAAGTTGTGGAACTAACACTGTTTTCTGAAGGTGTAAGCTGTTAGTAATGGTTTTTGGCGCGCGGATCTGTCTCAGCAGCAGGTGGATGCACTGGGTTGCCAGATTTCACGCCTTTATGAGGTTTAATACATGTTTCTTTCTTTCTTTCTGAATTTCTGAAATTCTTTTTGAATTTATGTCTGAACCTTCTGAAAAACTCCTCTGTTTGGTTTCTTCCAGACAGTGAAAGAGAAATAAATCTACATCATGCTGGTAATGTACTTTTTTCATATTAAACCAACTGCATTACAACTTTACAGCCAGCTCAGACTTTTACTTCATGAAATATTGCATTATTATCCACCCACTGCAGAATTTTGGAATATAATCCGGGGTCTTGGAGGGCTGGGAAACGCGCACCGTATCCAATAGGATGCGTCTAATTTGATCACGTGACGTAGATGCCGCTAATTGGCTTGGCTGTGTTTAATTAAGGTGGTTTGTTTGGAGCAGTGTAGGAACCGGAAGTGTCAGAATGACTTCCAGAAATGTTTATAAACATAAAAATGGAGACTAAAAGTGAAGAGAGAGGAAAGTGAAAGACGACTGGACAGCGCAAAGTGACAAGGAGAAGACATTTTCGACATTTTGTGTGTTTTAAGTCCTCACAGTGAACTGGTGAGTGGTGAGCTATGCTAACTAGCGTAATTAGCAAAGGCTAATTAATGTTTTTGTGTTTGTAATTCACTTACTATTAGTTAACTAACGTAACTAACAGCTCTAAAGTATGATAAATCGATTTGTCTTGTTGTGGAGGATTTAAAAGCCAATATTTTCCGAAAGGAAAGTCGAATGGGCGTTAAATGTGGGTCACGTGACTGGCTTTGCTGTTATTTGCTGTGATTCATTATCAGCTCTTATATCAGTTTTATTTCTACTCACTGTAATCTTCTGTAAATGTTGAATAAAAAGTCTTTGAATTTATACCTTTTTTAAGTGAGTCACGTGACCGTCTGTGCTGTTATTTCCTCATGATGTTTGCATTAGTGCTGCTGCTGCTGCTGTTGTTGTTGTTGTTTTGGGCTTTGAACCATAATAGTGTTGTGTGTGTGTGTGTGTGTGTGTGTATTTGTGTGTGCGCGCGCTTGTTGCTTGTTTTGTGCTTTGCTTTGCTGGTGTTGGATGTTAAACTGCACTACTGACCATAAAGAGGCTACCAGATATATAATGAAAGATGTAAATATTAAACACGTGGCAGTACACACGTGTAAATACGTATTAATTGTTTGGTAAGGCATAAATGTAATGCTTGCAAAGAGGACCATTTTACTTACTTCTAGTAAGGATTCAAAGATAAGGTGTACATAAAATCAATCTGGCAACCTTCTCCAGCCCTCTTCTGAGAACCTGCGCTCCTGGATCTGACCAATCAGAGGCCAGTGGGCGGAGCTTCGGCAGAGATTGACCGGAGTTCTCGCGACAAGCTGAACTGCGTCCGAGTTGCTTTTTTATTCACACTAGGTAGGAAAACTGACTGCTCAAACCAGTCAGGATTATTTCTCTGTGTCTTGTTGCTGGCTTGTTTCGGTCACTTAATTCTGCTGTATTAAACCGGTTATAAAGCGTTAGGAAGCGTCAGAGAGAGCGTGGCGCGTGCATTGCGTTACACTGTTACAAGTGGGGGCAACAGGTTACTGCTGAAGTGCGTCATGTGTTTTACTGTGTTTCCACTGTTTCCACTGGGGCTCTAACAGTGTGGCACAAAGTTCATGTTAGTGTGAAGTCTCAGAGTCTGCATGCTAACAGTTTAGTTTCATGTTGGTTTAAAGGTTGAGTGTGTCTCATTATTGCTGTATTGTTTATCTTTCAGTCCGAGTGGATCAGTTCTTATTGTTCTCAGGTTCTTCATCCTGCTCCTGGAGAACCTCCTGTCCTGCACATTTTACATCATCATAACACATTTTATTATTCTCCCTGTCTAATTCAACTAATCAGCTAACTGAAAGGTGGTGTGTGTGTTTGAGAGAGAGAGAGCAGGGGGAAAAACACTAAAATGTGCAGGATAAGAGGTTTTCCAAGTGGGGCTGGCTGATACAATATCGCTATCGTGATAAATTGTCTCAATATGCGATTATGAGAGATCATTTAAAAAAAAAAAATACAAATTGAATGGAAGTACCACCTCACTGGTGGTCTAGTTGGAGGATCCCACGCTCTCACCGCTGAGGCCCGGGTTCAAATCCCGGGCAGGGAACCAACTCAGCCACTGGGAGTTTACTCTCTCAGTGCCGGTTCCAAGCTTGGATAGATGAGAGGGTTGCGTCAGGAAGAGCATCCGGCGTCAAACCTGTGCCAAATCAAACATGCAGACCAATGATCCGCTGTGGCGACTCCTAACGGGAGCAGGCGAAAGAGCAACAACAGTGGAAGCTTCTGACTGAGATTCTCATAAGCGAGATATCTCAAGAATGAGTGCGGTCAAATGTCTGAAACAGTTTTTCTTCAAAAGCTTCCCTTACTGTTCCTCATGCAGAGATGTTCCTCATGCAGAGATGTTCCTCATGCAGAGATGTTCCTCATGCAGAGATGTTCAGAAACCTAAGGCCCATTGTCTGCCATGGCCATCAAATTCTACTTGTTTACTTTTTTTTTTTTTTTTTTTTTTTTTTTTTTTT